GCAGCGCGCCTACAGTCGATAACAGCTCAAGGATATACTCCGAGAGACCTTCTGAATCTTTCAAGTACGCACTGACGGCCAGGAACTCAACTCCTCCTGGAAGTCGTGGAAGCCCAGGAAATCACGCGCCAGGATAGCAACACCACCAGAAGAGCCTTGACCATCTCCCCTGGAGGCCGGAAGAAATCGAGATTTCCAACCCGAACGAGCGGCCCACTGCGAGGCCTCACTCACCTGGACATCGGAGACCAGGTGCGTCTCCTGAATCAAAACCACGTGGGCGCTGGTCCTGGATAACCAGGGCTTCGCGCTACCCCGCCCCGTGCAATTTGCGGTCTCTAAATGAAGTTCAAAATCGTCCGAGCAAGCTGGGACCCTGAGACTTGTGCAACATTCCAAGGGGGGCTCCTTGGAGGCGGGTAGGCGAAGCAGCCTTGAAATGGCGGGTGAGAAATCCTCACGCAAAAAAATATTCCAACGGAAGGACCCCGCATGATAATCTCTTTAGCTTGCATGGGGGTATCCTCCTGCCCCTTCCCTTCTCCCACCTACTCTTGCCTCCTCGTTCTCCTCCTGTCTGCTCCTCCTCCTGCCTCAACCCCTGCCTCTTCCTCCTCTTCTTGCCTCCGCCACCTCCTCCCCCTCCCCCTCGTTATGCTTCCTCCCCCCATTCCCCCTGCCCCTCCTGCCTCCTGCCTCCTCCTCCTGCTCTCCCTCTCCCTCTCCCTTCTCCTCCTCCTCCTCCTCATCCCCTGTCCTCCTCCTCTCCCTCTCCCTCATCCGCTTCCTCCTCCTCCTCCTCCTCCTCGTTTCCATATTCCTCCCCCCTCCTCCTCCCCCCCCTCGTCCTCCTCCTCCTCCTCCTCCTCCTCCTCCTCCTCCTCCTGCCTCCTCCTTAGGCCTCCTGCCCCCTCCTGGGGCCTCCTGGGGCCTCTTGGGGCCTCCTGGAGCCTTCTGGGCCTTCCGGGACCTACTGGGGCCTCCTCGGGCATTCCTCCTCCTCCTTTTCCTCCTCGTCCTTCCTCCCCTCAGCCTCTTCCTCTTCCTGCTTTCCTGTCTCGTCCTGCATCATCCCTCCTCCTTTTCCTGGCAATCCTCCTCCTCCTCGTCCTCGTGCGGAACACGACCCAGAGGAAGCGCACGACGTGCGTCCCAGCCGATACGCGCCGGAGGACGACCCAGAGGAAGCGCGCGCCGGAGGATGACCCGGAGGAACCACGTGAGCTGCGGGACCCATAGGAAGGCTCCCGCCTGACGCGTCCTCACAATTCACTCACAGACGAGGGTCCCGCTTGATACTTCTTCCAAATTCAGACCTGAGGAGCCCAAAAGTGACGACAGTTACAGGAATCCGATGACCCGCTCGGATTAGTAACATGATCTGCGGGCCCCATAGGGAGGGGGCTCCCGCCTGAGACTTGCTCGCAATTCACTGACAAACGAGGCTCCCGCCTGATACTTCCTCCAAATTCAGACCTGAGGAGCCCAAAAGTGACGACAGTTACAGGAATCCGATGACCCGCTCGGATTAGTAACATGATCTGCGGGCCCATAGGGAGGGGGCTCCCGCTTGAGACTTCCTCCAATTCACTCACAGACGAGGCTCCCGCTTGATACTTCCTCCAAATTCAGACCTGAGGAGCCCAAAAGTGACGACAGTTACAGGAATCCGATGACCCGCTCGGATTAGTAACATGATCTGCGGGCCCCATAGGGAGGGGGCTCCCGCCTGAGACTTCTTCAGAATTCACTCACAGACGAGGCTCCCTCTTGGTGGATGATGGTGATGGGATGACGACGACGGTGTTTGATGATGATATATGATTGATGATGATGATCGTTCGATGCCGATGATGGTGAATGATCGTGCGATGGTGATGGTGATGCTGATGGTGATGATGATGATGATGAGTGGGGAGTGATGGTGATGGTGATGATGATGCGGAGGAGGAAGCAAAGAGGAGCAGAGGAAAGGGAGGAGGACGAGAGATCCTGCGCGGAGGGTGCGCAGAGAAAACACAAACCCCACTTAGGATGTGGGGAAATAACGTTATGAGCAGACCCCCTCGCCACCGAAAACCCTGCGCAGGCCGAGACTGGGAGCGAGGGGGAATTGCGCTGACTGAGTGCCTGAAGATGCAGGCGGCGAAAGCGCGACGCGAGCCCGCTCACGAACGTCACGGGCCTGGCCCTCAGGGACTGCAGCGCCGACGGCAGCGGCCTGTCCACCGAGAGCAGCTCCCCCAGCTTCACCCTCGTCACGAGGAGGGACTGCTGAATCTCGCTCGCCACCACGCTCAGAGGGAACACCTGGGGTAGCAGCGGCAACTTGTGCATTATCCTCCACCTTGCGCTTCTTGGAGAGGCGATTGACGTGAGCGGCGTGGTCGGCCCGTATCTTGTCGATCGAGGCGACCATGCTGGCGAAGAGCTCCTTCGTGAGGGATGATAATCCAGCCTGCAATTCAGTACGACGCTTATCGAACTGCTCTCGATCCTCGGCAGACAACTCGTAGTCGGTGTCATCCAACTGGAGCAGCTCGTCGCCGTCGATGAGGGTGATGGCGTCAGGTTTGCCGTCGAGTACAGCGCGAATGCTGATGCCACCATGCGCAGCAGGAGAGGCAGTAGCAGCTTCAGGCTGGATGACGGCCTTGTGCAGGCGGGAGACCAGGTCCTTGTGGACTTTGTCCTGCGCGTCGAGCTCGGCCTGGGCGTCGGCTGCAGCGGTAGTGCAGTCGGTGAGCCACTTCTTGGCCTTCTCCATGTTGTCGAGCTCTCGGTTGAGGCGCTTCTCCAGAATGCGAACCTGTTGCAACGTCTCATTAGCCTGACGCTCCAATGGCTTCTCGGCGGGGCCCTTGGCAGCGTCCTGCTTCTGCTTCTTCCAGACCTGGTACTGGGACTTGGCGGACTCATCTCCGAACTTGGTGGCCAAGGCCAGCAGCTGGTCGATCTCATCGACCGAGATGTCGGGCGGCATCGAGGCGCCCCCAAGGAGGGCTAGCGCCTTGCCGCCTCCACCTCCACGCTGCCAGCTCTTCCTGCCGCCGCTTGCACCTGCACCATGGTCGCCTCCACCTGTGTTGTCGACGACCTCATAGCGTGGGCGGCGGCAGTGCTTGCACCACGTGAACCAGCTGAGGTTCTTGGCACATCCGCAGTCCGCGTGGGCGCACTTCCACTTCGGGCCCTCGACGCCCGAGTCGTGCCGTGAGCCGTCCTGCTTATGATTCCACGACCAGGCGCCACCTGCCATGGCTCCGTCGTGCTCTGTCAAACAGAAAGGGAGACCGAGCCACTCTGGCCCGCGTTCACCCAGCCGTTCTGAATCTTTGGCGAACGCAAACACAAATGCTTGTGCCAGAACGGCTAGGGGGAGGATGGGGGAGGGGGAGGATGAGGAGGAAAAGGAGGAGGAGGAGGAGGAGGAAGAGGAAGAGGAGGAGGAGGAGGAGGACGAATAATATTAATAATAATAATGTTACGAACAATATTAATAATAACAATAGTAATACTAATACTAAGAAGAATACTCATACTAAGGCTAATAAGAATAATAATGCTAATAAGACGAAACATAAGAACACGACGAATAAGAATAATAAGAATAAGACTATTCATAATATTAATAATACGACTAATAATAAGAATAATACTAAGACTACGACTAAAACTGATACTACGAACACGACTAATAATACTAATGCGAACAAGAAGACTACTAATACGAATAAGAATAAGACTATTAATACTACTATTGTTACGAATAATACGTATAATAATACTATTGATACTACTACTACTACTACTACTACTACTACTACTACTATTACTAATCATACCATTATGAATACGAAGAATCAGAATACTAAGGCGATTCCGACTACTACTACTCCTAATGATACTAATAAGAAGAAGGCGAATAATCATAATACTGATAATAATAATGTGAATAATATTACTACTAATAGTAATATTAATAATATTAATAGTACTAATGCTAATACTAGTATTTATAGTAACAATAATACTCTATATTAATACTACTCATACTACTACTAATAATACTAATTCTAATAATAAAGCTGTTATTAATATCAATAATATTATTACTAATAACAATAATAATAATAATACCTCTAATAATAATAATACTCGTAATAATAACAACAATAATAACACTACTCATACTACTCATACGAATAACACTAATAATACTAATACTAATACTAGTAATACTAATAATACTAAACATAATGATAATGGTAATGGTACTACTAATAATAACAATGCTAATAATAATTTGAAGAGGAGCAGGAGGAAGAGGAGGAGGACGAGGACGAGGACGAGGGGGATGAGGAGAACGAGAAGGAGGAGGAGGAGGAGGAGGAGGAGGAGGAGGAGGAGGAGGATTTGGAAGAGCATGAGGAGGAGGAGCAGGACGAGGAGGAGGAGGAGGAGGAGGAGGAGGAGGGAGAGGATGGCTGGGTCTATTCGAGCATCGCGCAGGGATCCCTCTGATCGACGCTTCGGCAACCACCCCCACTCGGAGGTCAGAGAAGGTCAGCTTCAGGTCTTCAGGCTTGTCTCGTCGAAGGCGGCCGCATGTCGTGCCCACTTGTGCGAAGGGGAGGTCAAATCCCCCAAACTTTGTGACTTTCTCACAGGGTAAACCATTCCCTTGGGTCTTGTGGCTACAATGAGTTTTTTCGTTGTGACTTCTCACGATGCGGAGGGATCGGGGCGTGCCGCGGCCGCAACCCCAGACATCTGTCGCTTTGTTTTTTCGATGTTCGGCCCCAGAAGTCCCGACTTTTTCCCAGGGGCAAGTTTTTCGCCCAGATCCACCTTTGACGGTCCTTCGGGTCCGCGGGCGTGCTCTGGCGGCAGAAATCGATGAAAAGATTTCCCAGATTGAAGAAACCATGTCGTCGGATACCTGGGACTGCCTTGCCGCGCCATCCGCCGCAGACTCGGCGCGCCCGCGCGCGCGCGAGGCGACGCCCGCCGTGCCACCGCGCACGCGCTTCCTGCTGCGCGACGTGCTCGACCTGCGCGTGGCGCGCCGCTGCTCGGCCGATCCGGGTGGGAGCCAGATAGCTCGTCGGTCCTCCTCCTCCTCCTCCTCCTTCTCCTCCTCCTCTTTCTCCTCCTCCTCGTCCTTGTCCTCGTCCTCGTCCTCCTCCTCCTCTTCCTCCACAGTCTAGCTTGCGCGCGTGCGAGAAGGGCAGCGGCCGCGCGCGCGACAAGCTTTGAGCTCGGGGAGCCAGCACCGCATCGCTCGTTCGTCTTGCGATCGTCTCGACTTCGTCGTCGCCGACTTCTCCCGAGTTCTCTTCGCCTCCTCCGCCTCTCCGTTGTCCTCCCCCTCCGCCTCCTCCCCTGTGCGCTGCGCTGTGGGCTGGGCAGCACGAGGGCGGCCAGGAGCGGCCAGCGGAGGCTGGCTGCCCCCCTCGGCCTGGGTCAGGCGCTGCGGCTCGCAGGCCTCGATGGGGGGTGTGTCACTGACAGGCGATCTGCTCTTGAAGGACGAGCGCCCGCCCGGTGGTCCCGGGAGCACGTCCCCGATCGACTGGGGGGGCGCCAGCTACCAGCGAAAAACAGAGAGCGGCATAAGCACTGACCTTCGGAGATCCGCCTGGATTTCTCGGGTCGGCGGTGGACCCCCTTGAGCGCTAGGGGTGGGGGGGTCCATCGCTGGTTCAGCCAAACCGCGCGGACCTACCTCGACTGTTCTTTTTCCATGCCCAACTCACCGATCCATGCGGGGCTGGTCTTGGAGGCACAATTGGTGTATGTGCCTACATGGCCCAGCCAGGATCGGCGAGGTGGTCAGTGGACTCCCCCCAATAGTGCCTCGCGTGTGCAAGAGAAACAGGCAGAGGTTGTGTGGGTTCGGAGTCGCGGCGAATTTGCGTGCTAGGGTCGAGACGGGGCGCTCGATGTGGCGGGAATGCTTGAGAGGGAGTATATGCTTTGAAAGCAAGGCACACCTACAATGCACAACGCACAGTTTGTGGCTTTCCTCCCAGCCTCGCGACCTGCCTGGCGATGCTCCCCCCCGCAGCAAGGAGGTTGTGTTGCCTCTCATCGCGGCCAGGCCATCGGCACTCAGTCGCGTGCGTGTGCCTGGGACTCGGAGCTGCAGCTGGGGACCAGACCAGCAGTTGAGCGCATCGCCACCCCCTCCGACGCCTAGGTGCGCCGTGCCTGCCCTGCCGGGCGCCGCAGCCCCGATGCCCTCCTCAGCCAGTGTGGCTCGAGGGAGTCAGGCCCCCCACCAGTGTCCGCCCTCCCAGGATTTGGACCAGATTTGCACCGGTACGGGTACACCTTGGGCGATGCTTAAGAAAACCTAAATTTTCGGCCAGGGTCTCGAATATTCTTAACGTTTCAATGTAAATCCTAAGATTTTAACAGAAATGTTGGGCCTTTATTCAAGTTCTGAGACTGTGAATTTCTTAACCCATGATTTCTTAAGCACTTCGCAGGGTGTAGGGTTCACATGCAGTAGGGGCTCGACCACAGGAAGCCTTCCACAAGAAGCCCAACCCTGAGGCCCCAGGAAGTCTACAAGTTTTTGGTGTGGGCACGTCACGCTTTCCGCAGCAAAACCATCGAAACCTAAGCAACTCAGGGCACCTTGGAGGCCACCAGGATGTTTCCTGGCATGGGTCTGCACTGTGTGGCTCCCTAGGTGGGACGAGGGGGGTGGCCTTCCAAGAAGCCATGCGGCTTTTTTTCAAAGCCCTCCCGGGTTCTCAGAAGAAGCCTTTTTGGAAGCCCCCCAAGGCTTCCTACGAAGCCCCTTTTCTTCCTGGAAGCCCGCCTCCCCAAATCCCCACTCTGCGCGCGCCAGGCTCCCGATGGAGAGGCCCTCCCCCTGGGGGCCCGCGTCGGGACGCGGGGCCCCACGGAACGGTGATTGGCGGCTGGGCAGCTCCGCTCGCGGGGAGGGGCGTGTCGCTGCGGGAAAGGGAGAATGACCACAGCCACTGCTTCTTGTCTGCGCCGCCTTCCAACCGGCCGAAAAAGAAGCAGTGGTTGTGGTCATTTCTCTGGTGCCAAGCTCAGCGAACATGACCACGACCACTGCCTTGTTTCTGCTGGCTGAAAGGCGGCAACACAAGAAAGGCAGTGGCTGTGGTCGTTTTCATGTCCCGTAGTCGCTTTCGGGCACCGTGGTTCAAGAGGCTCAGGCCATTCCGCGGACACCCAGAAGAGGAAAGACATCCATCGGCGAGGCCTTTTGAGGGGGCCGCTTGGGGCCTCTGAGCTTCTTGGAGGCCTGTGCTTGCTGGGCTGTCTTGAGGCCATCTAACGTGTGTTTTTGTAGGGGGCCACATCCTTGTTCCTTATTAGAATATACCCCCACCTACCTCGTATTCCGGCCGATAGCGGCCCAATCCGGGACCTCCCATCCAGACTGTAAAAAATCAATACAAAGTGGCCGTTTTTCTTCTCAACATCGTCTTTCTTGTCGTCGACGATGCGAAAAGCGTGGCAGGAATGGGACGCGGCGCACATCGCGCGCGGTAGTCAATCTGGGCCCGCCCATCCTGACAGTAAAAAGTCAATACGAAGTCTTCATTTTTTCCTCTCAGCATGCCCTGCCTTGTCGCCGACGGTGCGAAATATGTGGCAGCAATGGGACGCGGCGCACATATGGGACGCGGCGCACATCGCGCGCGGCTGTCAATCCGGGCCCGCCCATCCTGACTGTAAAATATCAAAACAAAGTCTCCGTTTTTTTCTCTCAGCATGGCCTGCCTTGTCGCCGACGGTGCGAAATATGTGGCAGGAATGGGTGTTTCCCTTCACGTGCACAATCAGTGGTATCTGTTCTTATCGATATCGTTTGACGTCCGCAGCTCATTTGTGTCAAAGGAGCGTTGCATGGTAGCGGAGCGTCGGTTTAACCGGCGCTCCCGCGCACCAGCCCGGCCGCGCTCCGGCGCGGCCCGCTCCAGCCACGGCGTCGAGCAGCGATAGCGGGGCTGCTGGTGGCGTGTGGCTGTGGGTGCCAGACGAGGAGGCACCGGTCAAGCAGACCGACGGCAAGGTGCAGCGCAAGTGGCGCCACGTAGTGGCGAAGGTGCTGAAGCAGAAGTACCTGAAGGGTTTCTGGTCTGTGCTTGGTGAGTATCTCAAGTACGTCAAGGCCAGGCAGCTGCGATGAACGATCAAGAGAGGCAGGCCCTGGCTAGCCTGCAGTCGGCTGTGGAGGCGCTGAGGCTCCAGAATGCACAGCTGTCACAGCAGACCGAGCAGATGCAGCAGCAGAATGTCCAGATCCGGGCGGAGCTCGCTCGACAGGTCCAGGCGCAGGGAGATCTACCACGTCTGGCAGAGCAGCTCGGAGATGCGGTGCAGAAGCTGTCGGATGAGCGAAAGGATAGGTCATCAGCGCCAGCCTTTTCCCTCGTGGACACCAAGGGGTTAGGCAAACCCTCCATCTTCAAGAATGAGGAAGCAAAGTTCCTGGAGTGGTACCGCAAGACGAATGCGTACCTCATGGCAGTCTTCGGAGAGCAGTTCCGTAAGCTGCTGGAGTGGGTGGAGGACCAGGCGCAGGAGACCACGGTTATCAGCATGGAGGTTCTGGAGGCGAGGTTCGGCAGCGACGACGATGATGAAGATGAATTCATTCCAGACCTCCGCGAGAAGGTCAGCCAGCTGTACGTCGCACTCCAGACGCTGACAGAGGGTGAGAGCTTTGCCCTAGTGATGAACACTCCCAAGGGTAACGGCGCTGAGGCGATGAGGAAGCTCATCAGGCGCTGGGACCCAGCTTCGGGAGGCAAGCGCCGCGTGCTCTTGAAGCAGATCATGAACCCGCAGCGGTGCACCCTCGGCGACCTGTACGCCAAGCTCGAGGAGTGGGAGGAGCTCATCCGCCGGTACGAGAGGAAGAAGGCAGACGGCCAGGGCAAGGTGGTTGACGATGACGTGAAGGTTGCAGCCCTGGAGACGATGGTGCCAGAAGAGCTCGAACTCCACCTCGCGATGAACAAGCATCGGTTAGACACGTCGGAGAAGGTCATAGAGGAGATCAGGAGTTTCCTGGAGTCGAGACAGTCGCAAGGTGCCCTACTCCGACGGAAGCGAGGTGATCCGATGGACGTGGACTCACTGTACAAAGGAGGCAAGGGCAAGTCCAAAGGTAAGGGTGACAAGAACGGCAAGAAGGGCCAGACCACCAAGCCGCGTGACAAGCGGACGGTGCAGTGCTGGCGCTGCAGTGGCTGGGGCCACACGTCGAATGAGTGCACAGTCCGCCTGCCTGGCGGGAAGACCGGCGACGGCAAGGGCAGCAAAGGCAAAGGCAAGGGCAAGGACGCAGACAAGGACAAAGGCAAGGGCAAGAATCGTCGCTGGGACACCAACTCCTTCGAGCCCGGTGCCGCGTCGAGCTCGAGCCAGCCGGTCTACACAGACAACTGGGACGACGGCAATCACAGCACGATCACCAGCCTACCGCCTTCAGCGAGCCAGGTGGGTTCCACGAACCTTGGCTCCTTCGAGCTGTGCACGCTTGAGCTCAACAGCTTCGACGAGACCGTCGACGACCAGGAGTGGATCAGGTTCGCGTTCGACTCGGGCGCGGCCGTTACCACCTTCCCCGAGAACACCAAGGGCGAGCGGCTCCCGGCCGATCCGAATGCGAGCTATCGGACGGCCAGCGGTGAGATCATAGCAGACTCGGGCGGTGTATGTATCCAAGGGCGATCCGAGTGGAGCGAGCCGATCAGACTGAAGGCACGCCTGGCCAGCATCCACAAGCCGCTGGTCTCGGCCTCGCAGACTCACCGCACGGGCCGGGCCACCTGGCTGACGAAGGAGGGTGGCTACATACTCCCGGCCGGCTCGGACATCGTGAACCGCGTCGACGCTCTCATTCGTGACGCTGTGTGGAGTGAGTCGGGCGTGGTGCCGCTGTATGTTGAGAAGGGCGTCTACGCAGGCTACATCAAGAAGAACGAGGGAGGCCACGTCAGGAGAGTCACGTTCGGCGACCACCGCGAGAGCTGGGACTTGTGCCCGGTCGAAGGCGGGTCGC